TCCTGAGCGCCGCCCTGGTGGTCGGAGGGACCATCGTGCTCGTCGCTTTGACTTCTCTCGTAGCTCTCACGCTGGGCCGTGTGGTGGTCGGAATGGGGACGTCTCTGTCAGGAACCGCAGCGTGTCTGTACATTGCAGAGATCTCGCCAAGGGAGCGGAGGGGCCTGCTGGTCACCCTGTACGAGCTGATGCTGGTCGTAGGGGTGATGCTGGGCTTCAGCTGCAGCTACGCCTTCACTACTACGCCGCACGGCTGGGCGTACACATTTGGACTTGTGATTCCTCCTGCACTGCTCCAGATGGGCGCACTCCTCTTCCTCCCTCCTAGTCCTCGCTTCCTTGTGACTCAGGGAAAAGTGGAGCAGGCGAGAGCGGTGCTGGCAAGGATGAAACGCAGAGCTAAGGAAGACGTGGCAGACGAGCTGAGGGACATCCAGGTTGGACTGAAGGAAGAATCCGAACACAGTTTCTGGGAGCTGTTCAGTTCCAAGGCAAACCTGCGGTCGCGGTTGGTTACGGGGATGGCCTTAGTGTTCCTCCAGCAGGCCACCGGGCAGCCCAACATCCTCTCCTACGCCTCGCCGCTCCTCCGTAGCGTCGGCTTCGACAGCGACGATGCCGCCACCTTGGCCTCCACGGGGTTCGGAGTGGTCAAGGTAGTGGGCACGATCCCCGCCGTGCTGCTGGTCGACCGCGTGGGAACCAAGCTCTTCCTGTGCGTGGGCGCGGTCGCAATGGGAACGTCTCTGGCTGCGCTCGGTACTCTGACTCTGCAAAGCCACACTCACCTAACAAGCCTGTGTAAAAGTCAGACTTTAGTGAACCACACATATTCACCGTGGGATTTAAACGGAACCTCAGTAGAACTGGAGAGCAGTGAGATTTTTTCCACTCAGCTCCCCAGCCACTGGAGCGCTGAGGAGGCACAAAGGACTGACGCCGAGACTGACAGGTCTTGGGGCTTGGATCCAGAAAAAACTCATGTAGAACTGTCTTCCTCGTTAAAGTGGGCATCTCTGATTAGCCTGCTGGTGTATGTGGCTGCCTTCTCAATTAGCCTCGGACCCAGTAAGTGTCTGTTCATTGCTTTTTTTTTTTTGTTAGTTTTTTTTCCATTATCCTCTACAAAGCATGAAAACAAAGTCACTGAAATATTAAGATAATCTTTGTTGATACTTCCAAGCTTATTCAGTATCACCATCCGTAAACCAAGTCTTTCGAATGTAAGTATGCATTTTTAGATTTTTTTTGCAATTTGTCATGTTGCAACCCCTATCTTTAATGCACTATTATGTATTTTATCTCAGACAGACACAAAGTAGTACACTTTAAATATTTGCTCAAGAAAAAATCTGAAAAGTGTGCATTTGCCTCCATCCCCCTTCAAATAAATACTTTGTAGAATTACCACTATAAAGTCTTTATGGCATAACTGTAACATGTTTGTCATTGGGTACGTGTTTAGGGCGATGCAAACATAGCTTTTTACAATCCCACAGCATGATACTGGCACCACCATGTCTCTCGGGAAGATGTGTAGTTTTAGCTTTCCATCTCATATATATTTTGCATTACACTAGAAAGTTCAGAAACATCGGTACAGTTAAAGATTGCGGTTGTAGCGTGACTAAGTACAGAAAGGTCAAAGGGGTATGAATACTTTTGCACACACTGTGCTTTTATGACTGACTGAGAAATGCTGAACAGCCTGAATTTTCTCTTGCGTTTTCTCGTCCCAGCAAATGATCTTTATGTGTTTAAAGACAGCTGTAAATTAGCGCATTACACAACCAAGAGCAAAGTATAAGAGTTACAGTTGAACAGTAATTAGGATTAGGTAAATTAGGTAATAGATAGCAACAGAGGTCCCCTGATAATGCAATATGAACCCTGACTGTGAAGTTTCCACTAATTATCCCTTCTTTTTTTTTTTTTAAATGTGTCTTCCTTGTGTTCCCTTCACAGTGGTCTACGTGGTTCTCAGTGAGATCTTCCCCATGGGAGTCAGAGGCAGGGCCGTGTCGGTCGTGTCGGCAGTGAACTGGGCCACAAACCTGCTCATTTCCATGACTTTTCTCACCATCACAGGTCTGTATGTTCGCCACTGTGGAGCTTTGTAATGTTTAGGTTGCGTAAATTTTATTAGTAACCATAAAGCTGGACAAACAGATCACCACTGGTTATACAAACAACGTGCCTGCACAGTAATCGCTAGCAAACAATTGATTTACACACAACACAACTTTAATCTTTGACCTTTGCCTCAGAGAAGGGGGAAAATAGATTATTTCATGCAAGTTCTGCAAAATCCCTGATTTCAAATCAGACTGCTCCATCCTAACCTTTATTAGCTACTTCTGCTACCTCTGAAATGAAGGCTAACCTTGTTCTAATCGTTAAACAAAAATATACCAGGGATATTGATTCTTCAATTTAGGAAAAAGTTAGGACACTCTAGACCTTAAGAGATAATGTTATCCCCGTTTGGTAGAAATAACTTTATTACGATATTTTTTGTATCCATCTACCAGAGATTAGTCTGAGGAAAGTTTGCCCTACTTCTCACTTTCAGCTGTGAGATTTTGAGGTGTTTTTTGCAGCCCGTTTTAAGGGTGTTTTCCCCCCCCCCCCCCGACACATTTGGGCCGCTTTAAACAAACCAGTTTGTTTCCTCAGCTGGTCTGAACCTTTTGTGCAGGTGTGAATACACTCAAGCGAACCCTGGTGTGGATCAGACGACACACTTTCTGATCTCAGTTCGCTTCCAAACAATTTCTTGTTCAGTTTGCTTTTAAGTGTTATTACAGACAGGCTTCGAGCCAAAGCAACTACAGCAAATATACTATGGATTTCACAAATTTTCACAAATCACCTTTCAGTTTTGCTAATGCTACTAAAATACTGAATGAGCTCCTCGTCTCATTCAGCTTGCAGCCGAATTTCCAGACGGCGTTCTAAACTTAAAATCCCATCGTCTGCATTTCATATCAGTAGAGGGGACAGCAAAACTGTGGTGACATATTATGCATGCCTTGTATCGTTTTTTTTTTTCTCCAGAAAAGATCGGCGTTCCCAATGTAATGTTTCTATACTCCGGTATGAGTTTTGTCCTGCTGGTGTTCGTCATCCTTTACGTTCCTCAGACCAAAGGCCGGACACTGGAGGAGATATCAAAAGAGCTGGCAAGCAAGTAAGTGACAAACATGCTCATGTCCTCTAAAAGGTTTATTTGTAAGCTAAAACTAGTAAAACCCTTGTTTTCTGTTTCTGCTTTCCCTAAATTACCAGGAAGAACTTTGAGGTAAACCCTTTCAGACAGGCGCAGCCTCAGGAGACCCTGATCAGGAGGAGCCCGTCCACAGAGTGTCCCGCAAAAATGTAACAGCGTTTTTTTTTTTCTCCTGCTGTAACCTGAGACATGGTCAAAAACAAAACAATGCCTTGAAAATATAGAGCAGATCTTAGTCCCATCTGTTTATCCCAGCAGTTAGCTAGCCCATGCTATAAAATGCAGTTATTTGACTTTTGTCACGATCAGATCAGAAACAGAAAGAAACCAAAAAGTGGGGAAAATGTATATTTTTCACTTCATTTTTTTTTTTCTTTGCCAAAATATGAGGAAAAAAACAGAATAGTTGTAGCTTTCTTCTATTTAGACAAATTTTCAAAGCAAACATCAGTTAAGTTGGACACATTTATGGTTAAAATGTGTGCCGTTTGTAGTATTAAACCTTTGTATTTACTGATTTGGATATTCAAACCAGTTCTGCCAGTTTTAACAGTAGGGTAATACATTCTTATTTTATTATGGCAACACAAATTTGAATACTTTTCTCTTTTTTGGTTGGGAGGTAATGCTAGGTTAACATTTACAATTATTAGTATTAGGAGTCTGGTGGGTGACTGTTTTGTGTAGAACCTTTTTAGAGCAATTTTTAATAGAACATTCAATATGAACACTAATATTTTTAAAGTCAAATCTAAAGTCTCTTAACGAGAACTCTTTCTAGAATAGTTTTTGGAGAACAAAAAACTGTAACTCTCCACATTTAGCGAGAAAACACAACTACAGAATACGCTAAAATGTCTTATTTGAAACCAGGAAAAAAACCCCAGCAGTTGTTTAATAGCCTTTTTATTTTTATACAGAATACAAAAGTTTAAGTGTCACAATTTTTTTACTCACCACTTGTTCAGAAAGTACTCACTCACACATAAAAAGCAAGTTTCATTTCAACATCTTAATAGGAGATGCATACATACAATATAAGTGATGCCTCAGTGATGCAAAACTTAAAGCATTCAAATGTTATACAACCAGGAAAACACTGCTTTCTGTCTGGGCTTTTTTTTTTTTTTTTTAATGCCGCTTCAGTGCTGCCTTTATTGTATTTCACTGTAAAAACTTGTGAATGGAGTAAATCTTCTCAACAAGTGTTACTGCTGCCAAACATTTGTCCACAAGGTGGCTGCTGATGTTATGAGTTATGTACTGTTTCATATCAACTGACTTCTTTATTCCTGAATAATAAAATGATGGCTTTGAATCTTAATGAACCAAGTAAAAACCGAATCAGTTTCTGAGCACTCAAGCATCGTGAAAACCTGCAGTAAAATTCACATTTAAAAACATGGAAGAGATAGTTTACGCTAGTGCACTATCCAACATATGCGAATAAATATATACAAGTTTAGCAGGAGAGTGAAATTGTGAGGAAAGGACACAAAGTAACGCCTGTTCGTTTTTGAACAAAGGGCAGAGAATCAAACAACGCTGCAAGGGAAATCAACATGAAGAAGGATGCGTTTTGTTTACATTCCTAATTGTTGTCTGAATCTGTTAGCTTAAAAAAATGTTACAACACGGGGTGGACATCTCATCTTTGTCTGCAAATGGACGGAGATTCTCATCAAGAAAACACAAAAAGGAGGACTCGCTGTATATGCGGCTGAAAACGACAACTTTGCAATGATCAACACTGTCGAGGGTTTTTCTTTGCCCATGCAAAAAAAGACACCCAAAGCAACGATCTTCATTCGACTCCAATAAATAGGATTCTAACATCCGAGTCCAATGAGTCGTGTGGTTTCGACATTTCTTGCTGTTGCAACGTTTATCCAAGGATAAGGTGCTTCCTGATGATTCCCATGGATCCCCTCTGGTCTCCTCTGCTTTATTTGCAGCGGGGTTTCTGACACTCGTACAGTAGTGGGTAGATGTGCTCCACTGCTGAGGCCACGCTCTGCACATTTGGTCCTAAATATGAGGAGAGTCAGGAATGTGTGACGACATTGAAGCATGTTCAGAGAGCAATAAGATACTAAAATGAAAAGGGTTTAGAGTTTATTTTGACAATTATGGATTAAAGCCGATTAGGAAAAACAAATGCTCATCAGAAAATGTGAATATTACATAAAAAAAAAAATTATGTTTTAATATAGAAATTTTGGCCAACTGATCTCATCACTTCTTCATAAGTGATACATTTATCGTATCGGTTAGGTCAGAATGGAGAAAAGCTCAATTAAATATCCCTTCTGATTGAGGGATTTGACATTTCATTATTATTAGCTACGGGTAAAGCCACGTGAGCAGCTGCCAAGCCCTGGTAGAACTGAAATGAGGATTTCGAAAAAGCTTATTGTGCAGTCCACTGTGTCACAGTGGATCAAAAGGAAGCGGCTGACGCGACACTCTCAATCATCACTAAAATAAATCAAGTTTTCAGTAATCTAATTTATTGAGGTGCCTGAAATTTCTGTCAGTTTACCAGTATATCAATACAGTATATTTAATATATTAAAAATGTATTCATAAACTTCTGGTAACAGGCTGTAAAAGTGTATTGCAACAACACAGCCTCAGTCCCTTAAGCTTGTGTGCCCTCTAGCTGTAGATAAAGGAGGGCAAGAAAGGTGTGTGTGTGTGTGTGTGTGTGTGAGATGATGTGAAAGTAACATACCTGTCACTGTGAGGCTGCCAGTAGAAAACACTTGGACGGTAGCCTTCAGATTTTTGATTCGATAAGTAGCAGCAGGATGGAGTTCAGGTTCATAACTGGCAAACAGAGAAATAAACTTATCACACAGTTGAAATTAGAAGTGTTGACGGACTTTGTAGTGCAAAATACAGCCACTAGAGGGCATCATTTACCAACAAACATTTTAAAATAATCCAAACAAACGACTTTATTATCAAAAAGGGCCAAATCACTATTAATATCAAGGACTGGTTGCATAGAGACAACATTTTAATCTGGTGAACTAAATCTGGGAGATTTTAGACTGAACTGTGGAGTCCAACTCTGCAGACAATATTTAATTTGTACGATCTACCTACATAATAACGGTGGCCTCGTAATAGTGGATGTGTTACCTGGCAATGGGCCGGTTGTTCTTTGTGAAGTCTACAAGATGCACTGCAAATGGCATGGAGCACACAGCGAGCACGTTCACAACTCTGAACGCCGAAAACCTCACCTGCACCGACAAGCACATATGAATGCGTTTACAGGTGAAAATGAAATGTCAGGCACACAGTTTTCATGTATAATAATAGGTTAGAACAAATGTCAAACCAAATGTAAGTATACAAAACTTGGCAATCAAGAGATCTGTAATAATAGAGGTGTGGACATTTTATGGACAAGTATTTGTGCTGTAGAGTAAAAATCATTCCCAGTCATATAAAGCTGAATCAACGGCTAGACAAGAACTTGTTTTCTGACTTGTTGTTACATTCACTATGACACATAACCTGTTTGACGCAAATGATAAGTAAAAAGACAAATCATCATGATAGCCCTCAGTCAGTTGATGCATGTGTTTATTTCAGATTACAGTTAAGTGCTTTGCTTCCTGAGAGGCCAAATGGACACTCAAATCGACTAAAGTACTGATGATAGGGCAAGTAATGGAAAATACAAACCACAAACTTGCACATGCCGTCTTGATAACCAGCTTAACATCAGCAGAACATTACACTTAAAAGCTTAACAATACAGTTAGAAAGCAAAGCTATCATCCTCTCATTACTAGCATGACTTCCATAAAAGGCTTCACTTTGTGTGTGCAACAAAAGGCAGGTTCTCACCTTAAAGCCCAGTTTCTGCAGACAGCGAGCTAACCTCCGAGCGCCCAATTTCGCCTCTTCCTCACTAAATTAGAAAGCAGAGATTATGACTTTTTAGAACGCATAAAACACAAAACAGCATATATGTACAGCACTTTGAAAGAACTACATGTTATCAGCTTGCCAATGCTGACACAAGAACTCATTAAGATAACAATGTCTGTACCTTAAAGATAAGGAAACGCTTGACTTTGGGTGTAAAGCACAGTTATACCTGATAAAAATGAGGTATGGGCCAGTATGAAATTCTCAATGTATTAAAACTGAGCAAATATTACAGTATTTATACACTCACAAAAAAAGTAACATGATGTAATTTATTTTATTTACAACAGAGAAGCAGCATTGATCCTTTTGTGGGTAAAATAGTGGCAATTGCGGCTAACCTGTGTGTTGATACTAGAAACAGACCAATGAATAGTCACAAAATTGATTCTTTGTGTATTTTTTTTTTCTTTTTTTAGCTTTCTGAAGTTCTGTCAAACTCTGTGTCTACAAGGTGTGACCTTAGGTGAGCACCTTATTTAAAGCCATGTCACAGCCAATGCCATGTGTAGACACTCTACAAAACAAACCAGTGCAATTTATTTTGCATAATACATAAATACACAAAAGAATTCAATTCTGAACGCAACAATCCATAACCTGTGTAAGTTATATATATATATATATATATATATA